GTCGGGCTCTGTGCTGACAGCTCAGAGCCTGGAGCCGCTTCAGATTCTGTGTCTCCCCCCCTCTCTGACCCTCCCCCGCTCATGCTCTGTCTCTCTCTGTCTCAAAAACAAATAAACTATAAAAAAAAAAAAAAAGACACCCTAGCATTCCCTGAATGAGCGCCCAGGTGGGCACGGAGCCGCAGGAGAACCTGCGTCTGCAGACGGACCGGGCCGCACGCCCGCCCATCAGGGCAGAAAGGCTGGCACGGGGACCCTTTCCTCACACCCTACACGGATGCCACATCCAGGTGGATCAAAGGCTCGCAATCAGCAAAACAATAAACTCTTTGTAAAGATGTGTTTCTAAGTTTATTCGTTTACTCTGAGGGAGACAGCGTGAGTGGGGGAGGGGCAGAGGGAGACTCCCAGGCCGGCCCCGCGCTGGCAGCACAGAGCCCGACGCGGGGCTCGAGCCCACGGACCGTGAGGTCGGGACCTGAGCCGAAGCCAAGGGTCAGAGGCTTAACCGACTGAGGCCCCAGGCGCCCCTGCGACTTAGGAGACCGTCTTAGGACCCCCTGGTATTCACAGGAAGTTCTACAGGAGCAGACGCCAGGGGGCAGAGGAGCGATGCGTGTCCGTGGCTTCACTGCCAGGGTGAGCGTCCAGAGTCCACACAAAGGGTGCCTGCGAGTGAGCACAGAGAGGGAAACAATCTCTAGCGAATGGACGAAGAGGCTGAACAGCCACTTCACAGCACGCGGGAAGCCCCGTCTCTGGGAAGCCCGCAAGCCCGGCTGCAATCCCGACGCCCAGCTGACCAGCTTCTCACAAACCCACAGGTTGCACGGCGAGGGGACGCAGAGGAACTAAAACTGCCGTGCCTGGCCCGGCGCCGTCATCTTGAAAACAACGTCGTGTTTGCTGGTGACGCTGCACACCAGGCACACAACCGCCCACGTGTCCCCAGGAAGCTCCCCAGGGAAATGCGTGCAAACGCAAAACAGCAGCCCGGAGCCAGAGGCCCCCACGTGCCCTGCTCACGGATGCCGTGCGGCCGTCGGGGGAGCCGCGCCAGAAAGCGGAGCGGCGACCGCAATAAGCCAACCGCAGCTTCAGAGGTCTGTGTGGACGTCACGTGAGTGAAAGAAGCAAGTTCCAGAACCGTCTGTGCAGCACATAAGCATAAGCTGCGGCCCCAAACCGGGAAGTGCCGCAGACGGTCTGATTTAGGGATATACGTATTTATATGAATGCAAATGGGTCGATAAGCGGAAAACTATCAAGAGAAACAGGAGAGTAACAAACACAAAATCCAAGGACTCCTCTGGGTGGGACGACCAAGGGCCTTCGATGTGCCTGTTCCCTGTTCTTTTTTTTTTTTTTTTTTTTAAAAAAAGCTCCTCCAGGGAGGAGCCCAGTGCAGGGCATGAACCCATGACCCCGAGATCAAGACCCGCGTGGAGATCACCAGCCGGATGCTTAACCGCTGAGCCGCCCCCCCCCCCCCCCGGGTTGTTACTCTTCCTGCCGGATGTGAATGCCCCACCTGCTCTTCTGTGTGTCTGCTACGCCTCGCCACAGTCAGCCTTTCCCCCTTCCCAGGGACCCTTTGATAAGTCTGCTCTCCTCAGGACAGGTGGTGGGCGGGACTCCCCTGTGCCCGCACCATGGAGCTCAGGAGCACCCCCTGCTGAGTGTACACGCACAGACCCTGGTAGACAAGTGTTTGTTGAATGACTGAATGAGCACATGAAGAAAGGCAGCAGTGAGTTGTGAACGTTAATGAAGGGAAACGTCACTAAAGTGGACTCTGGATGTGTCTGGAAGAGGAGCCAGAGCACTAAATGCCAATCACGGGAAGAATCGGGACTTACAGGCCCTCCAGGGAAAGATGTGCCCAGCCTCCCCTATAAGAAACCCACCCCCTGAAACTCACCGCGGGCTGTCACTCGGAACTCTGGCTTTTCCCCAGTGGACTCGGGTGCAGAATAACCCTCCCCGCCCTCTGCCTTCTCATCAAACAGCACCCTCTCCTCTCTGCTGGGTATGCCTGTAGTGCTCCTGGAGCTTGAAGATACTGAACTGTGACTCTGTTATTCCCAAATAAACCATTTTTGCTAGTAAAACAGACCTTATTTCTAAGGTTGACGAGTGAAGGGCCTTCACGGGTTAAGAGGTTTCAGCCGTAAGATGCTGTGGCTCCCAGCGGGGAGACTGAGGCAGGCACAGCCAAGATCTCAGCAGCAAGCTAACTGCATCTCTGCAACGGCATTCCTCTGCCAGGACCCAGGGCCAGGCCACGTGCGGCACAGCTGGAGGCCTCCTCCCCCCAGTCATGCTCAGGCTCCCAGGGGCCCCTCCCTCGGGTGGGTTCAGCCAGGGCCCCGCTCTTCCCAGCCCCCCAGCCTGCCTTCCACTCCGGAAGGACGGCTCTGCACCAAGGGGGGATGTCACAGGCCTGCTTCTGTTCAGAGACTCACCCCCAGGCTTCGTCCCGTCCTGGCTGCCCCGGCCCCCTCCCTGCCCGCCTTCTCTTCCGGGACTAATCGGGGCCCTAGGCCGTGGGCCCTCCGCTCAGGAGTCCAGGCCTCCGCTCCCCCGGCCCCCCCTCTCGCGGCCGGTGGACCTCCGTCCGAGGACCAACCGGGACCTCAGGGAGTCCTGCTTGGGCTGAGAGCAGTGAGGGGTGGGGGCGGCAGCACGGGGTGGGGGGGGCCTGCAGGCGCCCCCAGCTGCCCTTTCTTGCACTGGGCTCCCTGTGGGCCCCCTTTGTCTCTTCCTTTTCAACCCGATCTACAGGCCTCTCCCTCCTCTGGGCTTTCCCAGTGGAAGAAAGGCCTGGGGGGGGGGGGCAGGGGGTGCTGGCAGAGCCGGGGCCCTGTGCTGGCCACACCCGCAGCCTCTGCTGGGGCCCAGCCAGACGGGGCTGCGAGGAGGCTGAGCCATCTCTGGGGTTCCCACCCTTTCTGCTGTCGGGGTCCAGAGCTGAAAGAAAGACTCCTTTGCCAGGCCTGTGACACCAGACCCTCAGCCCACGCGGCGTCTCAGCCCAATTGTTCCTGCGAGTGCCAGCCAGGCAGGACGCTGCCCAGACCCTGCCCCCATCAAAGGCCGCCCTTTGGGCCCCCACCTCCCTGCCCCCAGTCACTGCCGCTTGCTCGGGGTGGTCTTGCCACACAGCTCCCTGCTGTTACATGGCGGGGATTCTTGGTGCCGGAATTGCTGTTTTGCCTAGGGCCCGGAGGGGGTGGCTCCTGGCCGGGGAAAGGGTGACGCTTGGCTAGGCTGGCACTCAGGGTCGTGGGGAGTCAAAGCACAGAGGCCAGGCTATCATGGGGTTAAGGGCAGAGCTGAGGTCTAGGGCCGCCTGAGCACTTGCCTACCCCAGCCAGCCTCCAGGGACCTGTAAGCGGAAAACGGGGGCTGGGAGACCTTCTCCCTCACCTCCTTGCCCTGCCTCCTGCTCCCCTCCCCTCTCCCCTCCACAGTCCAGGCTCCCGGGCACCCCGCTCCCCTGGCAGAGGGGGCATCGGGGATGGACCAGGCCCTGAGCCGGGAGACCGGGCCTGGCCCACATGAGCCGAGTTCTTGTTTCTCCGCTCGCTGTGAGCGTGACCACCCTGCCCCTACTCTGCCTGCGCCCTCACCTGTCACCCTGGTGCTACGGCTGTGTGGGTAGGGCTGGCCTCATGTTGCTTGGCTTCTCCAGCTTCGAGCCCTCAGCACCTGAAAGGGCACGCCCAGCGTGGTCAGTTTGATGTCCCCAGGGCCTGACTGGACCCCTGCAGCTACGCGCCGCTCGCCTAGGGCTGGGTCAGCACCGCTGCCTGGCGGCCCTTGGCTGCACGGCGCGCACGGCCGGGACCCAGCGGGGAAGCGCATCGTCGCCAGCGGTGCCGGCTTCCTTCAGGGCCAGGCCGGGGCGCAGCCGGGCGCTGGGGAGCCTCCGGGTCCTGCCGGGGAGGGGGCGGGGGTCAGGGCCGCGTCAGACGGGGCGAGTCTTGGCACTGGGCGGACAGGAAGCGGGCGCGATAGCCTCAACCCGGGGCGCTGGGAGCGGCTGCGGCTGCGGGTGATTCAGCCGCGACTTCTCCCACCTGCGCTCGCGGGCGGCCGGTGGGCGGGGCCGCCCGCGCCCCGCCCTGGGCGCCTGTGCCCCCGGCCCGGCCCGGCTCCCCCCCCCCCCCCCCCCCCCAACCCCCCCCCCCTTTGGAACGGTGTAAAGTAAGGTCTTGGGAGATGAACCCCTTGCAGCGCCCCCCCCCCCCCCCCCCCCGTGGCCCTGACAGTGCGGGGCTGCCCTTGAGGGGCGCCTGGCGGGGCAGGCGGGCTGCTCCTAGAGGGGTTGGGGTGGGCTAGGCCAGATCTGCAGTCTCCGGGGGTCCCCCGGCTCCCTTGACCCTTTATTGGACTTTCAGGAAGAGAGCTTTGCCGGGGGTGGAGGGTGCGCTGAGCCCCGGGAGCCCGAGATGGGCTGTCGCCGGAGTTGGCTCTGTAGCCAAGGGCTGCGGCTGGGTCAGGGCTGGGGAAGAGCCGGAGCGGCCCCTTTCCTCTGCTCAAGAGCGCGTGTTCTCCAGCGCAGCTCGCACTGTTGGAAATCTGGCCCTTGGAACTGAGAGGAAGGCCCGTGCGGCCCCTTAGGGGCCCAGGTCCCGGCTCAGAGGTGCTGGCTTGGAGGCTCAGGGAGGGGGCGTCTCAGGCATGCTTCCACGACCCGAGGCTGGGCTGAGGCCAGAGAGGACGAGAAAGAGTGGGTGCAGGGGTTTCTGAGCTGCGTTTCTCTCCTGGAGCCTGGGCACATGTCCCCAGGCAAGCGTCCGAGGGTGGCCCCAGGACTTTGACGCTGACATAACCCTCCAGCTTGCCCTGGCCAGGAAACTTCCTGCAGTCAGAGGAGAAAAGGGCTCCTGGCTGTCGACCCCTGACCCCGTCCTCTCCCCAAATAGTTGTGTCTCTGCAGTGGTCCCTGCCGCCTGAGCCCCAGGACTTTATTCTGAAGGTTTCAATCTTGCCACAGGGTGGGGTAGGGTGGAGACCCGGGGAGCTGGGGGACATGGCCTCAGGCCCCCCACCCCATTCCCAGTATGGCATTGTCCTGGACGCTGGCTCTTCACACACATCCACGTTCGTCTACAAGCGGCCTGCAGACAGGGAGAATGACACAGGCATCGTGGGCCAACACAGCTCCTGCGGCGTACGCGGCAAGGCCCCTGAGCACGAGGCACCCACTGCTCTCACTGTAGGATCTCGCAGGCCCTCTCTGGCCTTAGCCTCTGATGTCAGGCCCCTTCGCGTGATGCCGCTGGGCCTGCTCCCTCTGAAGGAGCCTGGGACCCTGGGCCTGGGGGAGGCTACGAGCAGTGTGCGTTCCACAAAGTGAGCCGCAAGTAGTGGCCGGGAGGTTTGGCCTTTGCCTGGCCCAAGACTGGCATACCCAGGCAGGGCCCTTGGGAGGCTAGGCCAGATTGACAATGCCTAGTGCTTTATCCCGGCACCTGGGGGCACGCCCATGTGCAGGCAGCTGCCTTAGAGACTCTGGGTGGCCCAAAGGCAGGTGGGCCCCTTGTCTCTGAGGGCTTATGCTGGGAAGGTGTGTCTCAGCTGCCACCTGGCTTAGGAGCCCAGGGTCCCACCCCTCCGGCCCGTGGCTCTCCTAGGGGCTGCCTGGCGGGCTTGGGCCCATCTCCCTGTCTCCCTCTAGGAGGGGGCATCTCCAGCTACGCAGCCGACCCTTCCAGGGCTGGCCAGAGTCTTGCTGAATGCCTGGACCAGGCGCTGCAAGACGTGCCCAAGGAGAGCCACGTGGGCACGCCCCTCTACCTGCGAGCCACGGCAGGCATGCGCCTGCTCAAGTGAGTGTGCCCCTGACCCTCCTGGTCTCCACGAGGGCCTCGGCATAGGGTGGGCCCCACAAGCCCTCGGCAGCGGCGCTGGGCTGGGACGCGCTCGGCCGATCGGCCGCACCCAATGCGCCCCCGCAGGAGCATCTTGGCCACCTGGGAAGGAGGCCCCTCAGAGTCCTCCCTGTGTTGCAGCCTGACCAGTCCCGAGGCCTCGGCCAATGTCCTCGCGGCTGTGACCCGGACGATGACCCAGTATCCCTTTGATTTCCGTGGTGCCCACATCCTCTCGGGCCAGGAGGAGGGGGTGTTTGGTTGGGTGACAGCCAACTACCTGCTGGAGAACTTCATCAAGGTGGGCCCGATGGCCAGCCCAGTGAGCCAGGGGCCATGGCACCCACCCGCTGGCTGACCCCAACCTCCACTCCCCACAGTATGGCTGGGTGGGCCGGTGGTTCCGGCCAAGGAAGGGGACGCTGGGGGCCTTGGACCTGGGGGGCGCCTCCACACAGATCACCTTCAAGACGGCCAGCCCAGCTGAGGATCCAGCCAATGAGGTCCGGCTGCAGCTCTACGGCCAGCACTACCGCGTCTACACCCACAGCTTCCTCTGCTATGGCCGTGACCAGGTCCTCCGGAGGCTGCTCGCTGGAGCACTCCAGGTGCCCTAGCAACCCTGGGCCACCCGCACCACTGTGCCCTCCTGGAGGGAGGGGGGCGAGGAGACATGGGAGCCAAGGGTCCACAGCAGAGCCTGGACTGAGGAAGGCTTCCCTAGGCAACAGGAACCAAAGCTGGGCCTTCATCAGCTGGCAGGGTAGAAATGGAGGCATCCTGTGTGGGCCAAAGCCAAGTGGTGGTGGGGGGGCCCGGGGAGTGCCTGGCCGGGGAGAAAGGGGGGCCAGGGCCAGGTCTCCAAAGGCCTGGAGTGCCTGGCCATGGGGGGGGGGGTTTGTCCAGCAGACAGAGGGGAGCCACAGATTGCCCCTGAGTGCAGAAAGCGATGTTGCCAAGGGGAGACTTATGAAAGGCTCGACAGGCAAGTCCTCTGGGGAGACCTCCCAAAGGCCCCGGGCAGGGGTAGCGGGCAGAGCTCGGAGCGAGCGCGAGGCCTCTCACAGCCCTGCATTCCCCCAGACTCACGGCTTCCACCCTTGCTGGCCGAGGGGCTATTCTACCCAAGTGCTGCTCCGGGACGTGTACGACTCCCCGTGCACCGCGGCCCAGCGGCCGCAGACCCTCAACAGCAGCACCAGGGCCCACCTGGCGGGGGGCAGCGACCCTGCCCTCTGCCGTGGCCTCGTCTTGCGACTCTTCAATTTCTCCTCCTGCCACTTCTCCCGATGTGCCTTTAACGGCGTCTTCCAGCCTCCAGCGGCTGGCAACTTCGTCGTGAGTGCAGGGGCTGCGGTGCCCTGGAGCATGTGGGGTCTGTGCTGAGACCCTGCACCCCTCGCAGGCCTTCTCTGCTTTCTTCTACACCGTGCACTTCCTGCGGTCTGTGATGGGGTTTCCGGTGACAACCTTGCAGCAGCTGGAGGCCGCTGTGGGCGCCGTCTGCAGCCAGACGTGGGGTCAGGTGGGGCCTCCTTCCCCTCCTCCAGGGCCTCCCTGAGGCCTGACCCTAGAGCGAGATGTGGAGGACGGAGGGAGGAGCAAAGGCCCTGTGGCAGCAGGGCGCCCGGAGTGAAGGGCGTGGGGACTGGTTGCAGCAGGAAGAACCGCGCTTAGGGGTGGGGGGCCAGGCTTTGGGGACAGCGTCCAGGCTTCTGGCTCTGCCGCTGGTTAGACACTGGCACAGATAAAGGAAGATGGAGGTGCGCGCCCAGGCGGAGCATCAGGCGTCTGCCAGGCCTCGAGAGGAAGCACCGTGTCTGTGGGCTCCGGTGGCGACAGAGGCCCCGTCCTGTCTTCTCTGGGTCTGGTTTCAGGCAGATTTAGGGGGTGGGAAAGCGGGGGACAAAGGGCCAGCCCAAGCTCCGTGCGGAGGGCCTGGGGCTTCTGGTCCTCTGGCCACGAGCCAAGGTCGCTGCCAGCCTGCTGCTCCCTGGGTGCCCATCCCCGCGGCAGGGGCCTCCACAGGTCACGCCGTTCTTCCTGGAGGGCGCAGTCCACGGGGGCGGCCCTTCTGGCCGTGGCCGAGGGTGTGTGTGGGGGAAGGGGTGCAGCCCCCGCCGGCCAGCCCTCCTCCTGGGCCGGGACCCCGCCCGTCCCAGCTGCAGGCCAGGGCGCCGGGGGAGCGGCCCGCCGGCCCGACTACTGCGCGGGGGCCGTGTTCGTGCAGCGGCTGCTGAGCCACGGCTACGGCTTCGACGAGCGCGCCGTCCGAGGGGTGACCTTCCAGGGCCGGGTAGGAGCTGGCGGTGCGGCTGGGGGGCCTCCCGGCGGCGGAGGCTGAGGCCGTGCCCCTCGCCCGCAGGCCGGGGACACCGCGGTCGGCTGGGCGCTCGGCTAGACCAACCTGATCCCCGCCGAGCCGCCGCAGCTGCGCACGGGCGCCATCTAGCGGCGGCCGGGTGCCGTCTCCCCGCCGCCCGCCGCGCCCCACCCGCGACGCCTCCGCGCCCACGGGGGCCCGGGGCGGGGCGAGGGGAGCCGAATCCAGCCCCTGCCTGCCCGCTGCAGCCTCCTCCGGCCTCCAAGGTCTCCTGCCCCTCCCCCCCTTCCTGGGGGTGGGGGATTCAGGCCGCCCCCCGCCCCTCCCCCCTTCCTGGGGGTGGGGGATTCAGGCCGCCCCCCCGCCCCTCCCCCCTTCCTGGGGGTGGGGGATTCAGGCCGCCCCCCGCCCCTCCCCCCCTTCCTGGGGGTGGGGGATTCAGGCCGCCCCCCCCAGCCCTGGGCCAGTGACTTCAGGATTGCGTGTCCAGGGTGCCCCACCCCGCCCTGGGGAGTCTGGGTCTGCATCAGGGCCGGTCAGAGCCCGGAGGCTGGGAACGCAGGGCCTACTTGTGACACTTTTGCAATAAAAGCTTCTTCCTAGAGCAGTGGAGAGAATGTTCTTAGGGTGGGGCCTCCTTGCTGCCCCCATCCTCCCTCCCCACAGCTGTGTTGGCCGGGAAGGGCCACTGCTGGTCCCCAGGGTGGACCTGGGCTCCTCCTACTTCCTTCCTCTCTGGGCCAAAGACTCTGGTCCTCTGGTCCCCGGTACCCCACTCCCAGGGTGGCCTGGAGTCGCTGCAAGGTGGCTGACCTAACAGAGCCTGCGTCCCTTGAGCCTCCTCCCGCCCGCAGGGCCTGCAGCACCTCCAGGTCTGCCTCAGCGACCCAAGCAAGACGGGCTGGGCCGTGGTCTAACTTGGCCCGGGGCGTGGAGGTGGTAGAAGTGGGGAGTAGTGGCTGCAGTCAGTGTTGGAAGGGGGGAGAGACAGGGCAGACCCTTGGCAGGAAGTGGTGTTGGGGGGATGTTGCGACCAGGACCAGGAGGGCCCCGGGCCCATTGCTCAGAGAGAGGAACCCCGCAAAGAGGCTGGCTTTAAAGCCCAGGGCCCATCACACTGGGATGCGGCTCCCTTCCTGCCTGGGCGTGGTCTTCTGCGCCCCAAGATGCACCAGGTGCCCCCACCTGCTGCTCTGCAGCCTCCTCCCCCAAACACTGGTGGGGTTTTTGTTTGCTTTTTTAGTCCTTTTCCCCCAGCATGGGAAGGCATGGTCTTGCCTGTGTCTCCCTGCCCCCAACTTTTCTAGAAAGTGAGTGTAGACACTATTTCGGTCTGGTCACTGCCCTGGGGGAGAATGGCAGTGCTTGCTCTGGGGGTTTGAGCCGTGTCACAAGCCCGAGGGCAGCCCGCCCTGCCTTTGGAGTTGTGAGACACAAAGGGCTGAGAAGAGCATCGGGAGTGGAGGCTCACCCCTGTTCTCTCGGCGAGGTGAGCCCCAGGGAGGCTTCCAGGTGGGCGGGGTGGCTGTGCTCTCCGGAGGCACCGGTGCGCTGTAACAGGGGTGCACCCATAGGTGCTGGCTGTCGCGAGGCCTCAGGGAGCTGAGGGCTGTCACCTAGGGACCGTGGACAGCTCCCGGCCGCTCCAGGTCGCTCTTGCCCCCTGGCGGCCTCACGGAGAGCAGCGCCCCGTCCCCCCCAGCGGTCACCAGGCCGGCCTCGCCCTGCGGGTGTCTGCTGCTGCCCGTGCGTCCCTGAGTGCCCAGGTGCGGACGCACGTCCCCGCCCGTGGGCGCTGGTGTCTCTGTGTCCCTGGGGCTCGCGCCTCCAGGCCCCAGGCAGGTTCCCCGCTCCGAAAGGGTGGAGGTTGGGTGGGGAACCGACGACAGAGAGGGGACCCGAGGTTAGAGGGTCCCGCGGAAGCCCCCCGAGGCCTAGCCGGCTCTGTGGAGAACGGAGAAGGCCCCCGGCTGCAGAGACCGCAGAAGTTGGGGCGCCCCGAGGCCGGGAGCGAAGAGGTGGAACCAGGACCAGAGGAAGGGGGAGGGGGCGCAGCCTGGAGGCGCCGCCCCGCCCCCGCAGGGGGACCGCGCAGGCGCACTCCCCGAGAGCCTCCCGCCGCCGCGCCCGGATCCCGGATCCTCTGCCGCAGCGTCGGCGCCGCCGCCGCCTCCCCGCCGCCTGCGTCTCCGCCTCCGCCCCCTCCTCCCGCTCCGGCCCCTGCGCCTCCCCGACGCGGCGCCCGCAGCCCGCGCCGAGCCCCGGGCCGCGCGGTGCCATGCAGCCCCGGCGGCGGCGCTGAAGGATGGCGACGCCGGTGCCCCCGCCCTCCCCGCGCCACCTGCGGCTGCTGCGGCTGCTGCTCTCCGGCCTGGTCCTCGGCGCGGCCCTGCGCGGGGCCTCCGCCGGCCGCCCGGGTGAGGAGCGCGTCCGGCGCAGGCCCCGCCTCGCCCGGCACGGGGTAAACAGGCTAGGCCCGGAGGGCGCGGCGCCTGAGGGCCCCGAAGGGCTCCCCTGGAGGGGGCCTCCCCTGGGCTCCTGGAGTCCACGCGCGTCTGGCCTTTGTCTCTGGATCCGTGGGCTTGTTCTGTGTCTGCGTCTGCGTCGGGTTCTCTCCGGCCGCCGCTGGGAAGCTGTGCTGTGCGCGTCTGTGCGCGCGCTTCTCGGGCTCCGCGGGTGCGGGTCTGGCCCCGGGTGCCTACCGGCCTTGCTGCTGGTGTCGGTCCAGGGCTGCCTGCCCGGTGCGTCGCGTGGTGGTGGGGACGGACCTTACCTTGCTGCCGTGGGGGGGTCCGAGTTGTCCCAGGCCTAGGGCCTTGTTCGGGCTTCAGTGGGGCAGGAGGCCTTCCAGTCCGGAGCTTCCTCCCTCACCTTCTGCCCTGCAGGGTCCCCCTTATGCGCTAGGGGCCAAAGGGCACTCCCCACCCTCCCACGAGGTAGGCTCGGCAGAGCCTGAGGAGCCCAGCGTCCTGGGAGACTCTGCCTGCTTCCCAGATGGGCAGTGAGGCTCCAGGCCCGAAGGTCTGCAGGAACCCAGGATCCAAAATGCACCCCCACTCCGGGGCTGAACTGGGAGACTGCTCACACATTCATTCACTTCCCCTGGCAGCAGCATAGGGGAGGTGCTATTCTTAGCCCATTTTACAGGTGAGAAAACAGGTACGAAGAAGTTAAGTGACTGGTAGGTGGTGCAGCTGGGGCGCCAACCTGGGCCGTATGGTTCCGTGTGTTCTCCTGGGCATAGCACCCCCGGGCAGGGGCCCGGAGCATGGCTGGCCAGGGATCATGGAGGCTGCCTGCTGAGAACTTGGCACGAGAAGCATGAAGGGTGGGGCCTCCTGAGGAAATGCAGCCTCTGTGCTGAGCCCCTGGCGTGGGCGTGTGCCATCCCGACTGCTGATCCGCTTTGTGCCCTCCAAGATTCGGGGTGAGGTGCCAGCCACTCTCCAGCTGCCACTGTTCCTGGGACCTCTTGCTGCACCCCGAGGCCGGAGAAGGGGCTCTCCCAGGATTGGCCAGGCAGCAGTCATGTCTTTCTAGGTTGGAGGACCCGGAGTGTAGGAAGGCCTCTGGGACCCAGACCCTGGGGCCAGCTTTGTGCTTCAGGCCTCTACCCTTGGCACTCCGGGTTCTCAGCCCCAGGAGCACCAGCTGGGCACCCAGCTGGTGGGTGGGGTGCAGACTGATGTGGTGACACAGGCTTAACGTTTAACTAGCCCACGCCCCAGGCCAGCTCTCTGATACTGGCACCTGCTGACCGAAGGTGGTGCAGGATGGGGTCCCCAGGATGGGAGTCTGCCTGTTTGCCGCAAGGGCTGCTGGGACCTCCTGACTACAGACTGGAGGCTGGGAATATCAGGTTACCAAGGAAACCAAGTCAGGCCAGCCAAGGTCTGGAGAAGGACAGAGCCAGGAACTCTGTGATCCCTCACGTACCTTGGGCCCTAATGGCCCTCCTGCAGTGTGGGGGGTGGGGGTGGGGGCTAGGTAGAGAGGGCCAGGCCTCCGGAGATGCCCCATTCCAGCCTCCCTGGCCAGGATTGATGGGCCTGCTGTATCTTCCTGGGTCCTCTGACTCTGCTGCCCGTAACTGGGACCCGTGTCCCAGGCCTCAGGACATTCCCTAGTTTTGAGGCAGCTCAGCCGCAACCGAGAAGGGACGCAGGCACGGAGGCCTACTGGCCATGTATACAGGACACCGCAGTTCAGGCCCAAAGTCCCAGGGACTCCCCGGTCCCTGGCAGCGTGGCTGCAAGAGTGACCCTGGCCTGGCTTCTGTATCTGAAGCAAGTGAGACCCCGCCCTGGGTCTCCCCAGCCCAGCAGCTTCTCTGTACGCTGGTGACGCTCTGTGCGCGGGGCCCGGTCACACGCTAGGGGAATGGCTGTCTTCCCTTGTTCTGCGCCGTCTTCCAGCTCTGCTCTCGGGCTGTGGGAGGGTCTGCCGGGACTTGCAGGGCAGCCTGATGTGGGAGAGGTGAGCGGCCAGCATCGTGCGCTGCCCCTGTCAGAGAGGGACCTGGGCCCCACCTTCCAGGGCTCCCAGTCTGGACAGAGGGTCCAGAGCTGAGGCGGGCCCTGGCCAGGCGCGCTGGTGCTGCCGCCCAGCGAGGGACGGCTTCCTCGCTGGGCGGGCTCAGGCCTCCCGAGTGGGCCCTGGGGAGTGGGTGGGGCTGGGGAGTTCCCGTAAGTGTTGGGGCTGCTGTGTTCCTGGTCCTGATTTCTGGCTGTTGGGAGGAAGGGCCTGCCCAGAACAATGGCCGGAGCCAGGCCGGACTGGGTCAGCTCGGTGGGGGAGGAGTGGCCAGGGCAGCCCTGTCTGTGTGCGGCGGCTGAGCCGAGCAGGGCGGTGACCTGGCTCTGCTTCCTTTCTAGATGCAGCCGTCTGTCCTGGGAGCCTGGACTGCGCCCTGAAGAGGCGGGCACGGTGCCCCCCAGGCGCGCACGTCTGTGGGCCCTGCCTTCAGCCCTTCCAGGAGGATCAACAAGGCCTCTGTGTACCCAGGATGCGCCGGCCTGTGGGTATGGGAGAGAAGGACGTGCCCCCCCCCCCCCGTCCTGACACATCTGCCACTCAGCCTGGCTCCTAAGTGTCAGAGACTCTTCTGTCTTCCAGTGGCCTGGTGATCT